TGCTGCTGAGACTATGACATAGCTTTGGTTCCTACAGATGGAGAAAGCCATCGACAAGACAGAGACGGTCTGGGTAGGAGCAGATGTGTTTTCATGTAATAGCTGCGTCAGACTGACAGGGACCTTGAGGCTGTCACACAAGTGACACAAGCTGATTTTTTTGTTATCACACTGAGCTCTCCCCTCCTGCCAAACAGCATCCCTTGGCCTTTACAGAAGGCAGATAACACTGTTATTTCGCCTCTAGTCAGAGTGCTTTCTCACTGGCTCCCCGGGAAATTAGATCTACCATTAATGGTAACCTGATGGGTGAGGGGGGTTTTCTAGGAGGTGTGGATAGTGGGATCAGCAAGCTAAGCTCCAGCTTGGAAGAGGGGTTCAGGCTCACCATTCCCCATGGCTCCTAATAAAACAAAAAGTGGAAGCTAACATCACCACCTACTTCCCATAACCACATCTATGATTCATAGAACCGTTTTCGTAGAGTAGACTGAGAGCAGCATATGTACATCAGTCACTTAAATGGAGGGAAGCATTTCAGTGTTTTGTTTCATCTCCGAGTTTTTCTCCATCCTCCTCCCCACCCCCACTTCCAGATGATGAGAAAAGAGGTGCTTTTTAAGATACAACTGTAGAATTCAAGCTCTTGAAGGAAATGGAGCAAAATATCAATACAAGATATTGACCACTGAATTCAGGGACCACTTAATTTGGCAAGATGGAGGCCACAGGTGGCCTTGCCAAAAGTAGTCTCAGTGGAGTGGTGAGGAGAGGATCCCAGTTGAATTGGTTTGAGGAGGGCAAGTGTAGAAAGGAAGTGGAGACACTGATGATAGGCAAGTCTTGTAAAAAGTTTTGCTATAAAAGGGAATGAAGTCAAGGGAGGGTTTAAGATAGCAGTTACTAAAGCATGTCTATATGCTGGTGTTGATGTTGTTTGCTGATCCAGGAAAAAGAGAGAATTGATGAGAACGCTTCATCTCTTTTTCTTACCCTTAAAAGCAGAGTCCTTTGAGAAGGATTCAATTTTGCTTCATAGCCACTTTCTTTTCTACTAGTTTATGACTGCTTCAGGGTGGAAATCATATCTGATCCATTCCTGCATTTCAAAAAATGCTTTGGGGCTCCCCTGGTGGCGCAGTGGTTGAGAGTCCGCCTGCTGATGCAGGGGACGCGGGTTCGTGCCCCGGTCCGGGAGGATCCCACATGCCGCGGAGCGGCTGGGCCCGTGAGCCATGGCTGCTGGGCCTGTGCATCCAGAGCCTGTGCTCCACAACGGGAGAGGCCACAACAGTGAGAGGCCCAAGAACCGCAAAAAAAAAAAAAAATTTCTGGAGTTTCTGGTGGAAATTTTGAATCATGAGCTGTCTTCCTTCCTCTGCCCTTTCCAGTTCTAAAAACTTGCTCTTTAAAACACAGACTCACTCAGGAAACGTTAAATTTAATACACATCTAGAAAAACAGATTCGTTGAAAGGAACCTACCTACGTGTTTCAACTTCTCAATAGGAGTGATGTGGGGGGTTTTCTTCCATTTCAGAATATCTTTTGGTTATAGTTTTCTTTTCTTTTTTTTTTTGGCCCCATGGCTTGCGGGATCTTAGTTCCCCGACCAGGCATCAAACCCCCTTGGCCGTGAAAGTGCCAAGTCCTAACCACTGGACCGCCAGGGAATTCCCTAGTAATAGTTTTCTTTAAAGTTATAATGTGCTTTCACACCTACCATCTCATTCTTTTATCAGTCCTGAAGGGAAGTTAGGGTAGAATATCATTCCCATTTGGAAATAGAGACCCAGAGGAGTTCAATTTACTGAAGGTCACACAGCTCATTGGTGCAGAGCAGGACCTTGACCTCAAATATTGTTGCTGTCAATTTAATGAATTAGTATTTAAGTTCTCCATTTAGTAAGCACTCTTCACCCACATCCTATGACTCAGAAGATCCACTCCTGGTTTTATTCCACTTGTTTCATTTCTGTGTAAAGCACTAACAAATCTGTATTTCTCCAGGGCAGGCCGTGTTTCATTAAGCTTCTGCAAAGTTTTAACCTTTTCTAAGACTCGAGGCAGATGGAACAGGCCATAATGAGGTGGACTTTACTTCGTGGCAATTGCTGGGTTGGACTGGATACAGAGCATCCAGCCTGGGGGCTGAATCCTCCAGTGGCATTTAGGGTTTTGTGATATGTGGGCTTCTGAAGCAGGCGGGCAGGGCACAAAACATTACTGTTTACCAAATCAAAGCAGATGTTCTACTCTTTGAAAGATGAGATGGAGGCCCCTCCCTCCTGAAAAAAAGATTGTTGAAACTCAATCTGCTTTAAAATGTGTCGATCTGGGAAATGTTGACTCCAGACACATAGACCTCATGACTATGTTATGAGACAAGCCTGACAAACAGAGGATGTGGGCCCCGAATCAACAATGGACACAAGAGCCTATTGTATCTCCTGGTAAATGAAATTAATTTAAGGATAAACCAAAGACTTAATGCATATCACAGATACTACGTTCAGATTCACTCATACATGTGTCTAGGACGTACTCTTGGTCAAATGCTGGGTGTATGGCGGAGCTGCCATATGAGCATAGCAAATTCAATTTCACAAGCCACCCAGTGTTTACAGACCAGCAGATTAATTAAAAGACTCAAAATGTGAACAGCTGGGTTATATTGCTACCCTATATCAACTCCTAAAGGGACATGTGGTTCTGTTTCTTTTTTTTCCTTTTTTTACATTTCAGTTTTATTGAGTTATAATTGACATAAAATTGTAAGATGTGCATAGTGTACGGAGTGGTGATGTGATATACATATACATTGCATTGTTTCTTAATCTTTAATCTATCATAAAATAGAGTTAGCTCAAATACTTGACATTGTCAGGAGTTGACCATTTCAGTGAAATAATGGTGCACATAAAAATACGTTGATACATAATACAAATGATGTACATACATTTCTATCCACATTGTGTTTTCACGTAATCATGAGGGAGTTAACGGAAGAGCTGATGATTACTGAGTTTTAATCAACTTATTTCCTCCCTTCCACCTTCTGTCCCCTCACTGAGTATACACTCTGTGTTAGACCCTTTAAGTATTGGGGATACAGTAGTGAACACGACAGACACAGTCTTTGGCGTCATGGAACTTACAGCTGAGGTGGGGAGAGTATGGAAGATGGGGTGATTGGAGATGGCAAACCACGAATTGCGCAGATAATTATAATGTTTATAAGTGCTGCTTAGAAATATAAGGTGCTCGAGCAGGGAAGACAGAGAGAAATGGATACATTCAGTATCTACTTAATGGATATCTTGTAAGCTGAATGAACAGGGCTGGATTTATTCAATATGGGAGGGAGAGTGAGGAGTTAAAGACATGACTGCATGATGAGCTGGATGGATGGTGGGGGAATATGGCAGGGGAAGATAGAGGAGGAACAGATTAGTAAGAAAAAATCCAAGGGAAATTGGATTTTTTTCTGGGTGAAAATGTCATATGCTGATCTCTCTCTCTCTCTCTTTCTCTCTCTCCTGTCTCTTCTTCCCCGCCCCCTCCCCAAAGAAAAGAGAATTTCTGAAAGTCCTTTTTTGATCCCCCAAAGAAAATTATCATCTTAATCAGCCAGGAAGACAGGTTCAGAAAAAGCCTGTTATGCAGGCTTTTCCACTCCTGATTGTAAAGGGCTTTCTAATCTCACCCTTGTAAGGAACCATGATGGTGATCTACTTTGACATTTAATAGCCTGCCATTGGTATGCTTGTCTTTTCCTTGTTATATATTATATTATGAGCTTCCCGAGGGTGAAGGTAGCATTCATTTTTTGTCTCCCTCAGTCTAATTAGTGCATGGCATTTAGTAGGTAACAATAATTATTTGTTGAATTGAATTATAACACAGTTGTATGAATGCTGGCTATAAGGAACTTGTGTTCTTTTATGCTTGCCTAGGCTTTATGTGGTCTTCTCAAGCGGTATGTAGTTCTGTGTGTGGCTCCTTTTAGGGAAAGGGTGTGTCTATCTTGCCAACCACTACATCTCCAATCCTGATACATGGTTAGGTTCAAAAACACTTGTTCAGGGATGGTGGTTGCCAGAGGGGAGGAGGATTGGGGATGGGTAAAACATGTGAAGGGGGTCATGAGGTACAAACTTCCAGTTACAAAATAAATAAATCACAGGGATACAAAGTAAGGCATGATGACAATAGTCGATAATATTGTGGAGCGTCCTTGAAAGTTGCCAAGAGAGTAAATCCTAAAAGTTAACTTTGTTTGGTGACAGATGGTAACTACACGTAACTGTGCTGCTCATTTCACAGTATACACACAGACATCAAATCATTATGTGGTACACCTGAAACCAGTACAGTGCTATACGTCAATTATACCTCAATAAATTTGGCTTTTAAAAAATTCTTGTTCAGTTTTTGGAAAGAGGAGGGCAAAGTTATTCAAAATCTTTGAAAGCATTCTGCATATTACACAGCTAAGGGAGCAGCAACAACAAAAAATATACCACTGATGAACCTGAAGAGCCTCAGAAGTTTTGCTGAGGTTCATTATAGAGTAGAGCGTTCTTACTCAAAGGCTGACCACTTTTAGATTAGCCAAGTTTGATTCAGATATTAGACCCTAAATTAATTTTCATAGTCAACAAAATTGGACAAATTTGGCATTTTGATACTCAAACTTGAAAGGATGGTGACTTTTCTTTATTGGTTTTCAATGATGTTCCAAGGAGCCTTTGAGGTTTCATGGAAATCTTGAGCAAGCCAGTTGGATGGGGCTCTAACCTGTTACTTCTGCCTTTATCCATCACAGTTCATCTGTGTTTTTTTTGTTTACATGTCTGTAAAATTCCCTTTGAAGGGCAAGTTCCATGACTTAAAAGAAAAAAAAAAAAAAAAACACCAAAAACTTCAAAAGCCAATGTCAGATAACAACCTAACACTGTTCTCAAATAATTGTAATATTCTTACATATAAAATTCCTACCTGAGAATTGGTGGTGGCATCTGGTTGTCTTTGGGAAACAGTTTGGTCTCCTAGAAAGTACAGAAATCTTTATCAGTTCAAATGTCAGAAAGCTACAGATGTGCTTGTAAAGTGCACAACACATCTAACCATTGCATTTATTCCTCTTTTAAAAAAAAAAAAACTGCCTGTTTTCTTGTGTATACTTCCCAACGCCTTCCCAATGAAATTGTGAACTCTTTGAGAGCAATAACAATAATTTTTTTGTTTCTATTGAGTTTAGCACAGTGTCTAGCACAATAAAGTCATACTGAATGAATAAATGGATGGATGGATGGATGAATGGATGAATGGATGGATGACTTTGACTATTAAAAGAATGATTTTGACACACTAATACCTGGGACTTGGTAATTGTTTTCTAATCCTGCAATTTTGCTTTTGTAAGACCCTGAATAAATTAATTTTGTATCTTATTATGCTAAATATAAAATTTAAAAAGAATGTGTTTTGCAAATTAAGGATGATGAGTCATTGTTTCTTGGGAATAGAGGGTACATGAGCAAATTAATTACAAAGGCCTTTGTTATTATCATTATAATGTTAATTATAAGATACAGCTGCTGTTGATGAAACTAGCCCAGGAAAGGAATGTAATATGAGCAGCTGGTTCAAATTTTGGGTGGACAAAATTACTGTTTATTACTCAGAGGACCTTAGACCAAAGTTTGATAGAATATAGCCTGTGTTGGGTTTCTGCACATTCAGTAAACAGCAATGATCTAGTAGCCAAAGGAGACATTGAAAACCAAGGCAAATTTGAAGAGGAAGAACAAACACAGTTGTGAAAGGTAAACATTTCCACCTCTTGTCAACTGCTATGCTGGATGAATGTGTGTATGAATAAATTTAGTAGAACTTACTAAGTTGCTTTTCTGTGGAAGATCCGGTGCTGAAGGAAATTAGAGATGAATTACTAAATAAAGGGAGATGAGACATAAACATGTAACAAAGAAAGTATTAAGGGCCACAAGAGAAATAGTGTTCAATGGTACGAGAATTCATGAGGAGGAGAATAATCTTTCTCTGAATATGGCTCATTACTTGGATTATTTATGCCTTGGTTTTCAAATAAAATAAAACCTTTCATCTTCTCAATAGAGTCTTTAGCATAAATAAATATGTAGAGAGTATTTCTGGCAAAGGTATGTGTTCCCTAAAGAAGGAAGCCATTTCCATAAACATACTTTGTTTCTTTGTTGGGACAATCGGCTCCATTTTGTTTCCATCATGTGGCATGAAGCCTCTTGAAGTTGTGAAGCTGTCCCTGATTCTGGGCCAAAGTTGAATCATCAGATTGACTGACCTCACCACACCATGTGTTTTGTATTAAAAATGTGTGTGTGTGTGTGTGTGTGTGTGTGTATTTAGCACAAGAAAATGAGGACTCCCCAGGCCCTACATACTTTGTTATTCCTACGTTTACCAATGTTTTCACAATTTTGTGAAAACAATGTATCTCTGATATAGTCAAAGTACCTCATTTTTACAAGGCAGGATATTAATATAATCCAGAAAGACTAAGAATAAATTGGTATGCATACCCCTCCAAAAAACAACAGTAACTTTTGACTTTCATGTAAATCTTTAAATTTGAAGGGGTTAGGTCAATTTTCCAAAAAAATAAAATAAAAGACAAGTAGATGATAGATCTAAAAGAAAGTTTGAAGAAAAAGACATATATAATCTCATCCTAACTTGATACACAACTTTTTATTTTCGTGTATTTCCTTCCAGTTATTTTTATATTCATGTCATTACCTTCCACTCATTTCTAAATCACCCTACTCTGGATTCTACCCCCACCAGGCCGCCGAAATTGCTCTTGTTCAAGTCACCAGTGGCCTCAGTGGATTCCTTTCAGTCCTTGTTTGCCTGGGCTACCAAGAGCCTTCAACAAAGTCCAGACCCCAGCTCTCTCCTCCTTATTCTCTGTATTCCAGGCACTGTGGGTTGACTGACTTTGGGTCCACACGGTGTTCTTTCCTTCCTCGGGCCTTTTGCATATTCTCTAACTCCTCCTTGGAAGGCTCTTCCTCCCAGTTCCTCCTGCCCCTTTACCCAGTTAACCTCTTCTCTTCCTTCAGAGCTCAACATAAATGTCACAAAGTTAGATAAGATCACGGCAATCCTGCTTCAAAATAGTCATCGGACATATAATTACAGGTTTCCTCTCTCTCCCTTACCCTCTAAGTTCCTGGATGACAGAAGCCATAATTGTCTTCACCATTGAAACCTCAGTGCTTAGATCATTGCCTGGCATATAGGAGATACTAAAAATTTTTGTTGTGGTTAAATGGGTTTATGAATAGTTGCATCAATTTTATATCCTGCTTTTTCATACCAACGCATATCTCCATGTTGTTCCTTTCTGATTTTTTTTTTTTACTTTTATCAAAATTATACATGCATACTTGTACAAGAATGCTCAAACTGGAAATAATCCAAAGGTCCATCAACAGGAAAACAGATAAATGAATTCTGGTGTTTTCATTAAATGGACTTATTACAGAGCAATATTTTCAGTCTTGCTACATATAACAACATGGATAAATCTTACAAACATACTAGCAAATGAAGCCAGAAACAAGAGTACTTACATATGATTCCATTTATACAGATTCCAAAAGCAGGGGATACTGATTTATGATGTCACAAGTCAGGATACTGGTTATCCTTGGTGGGATGGTGGGGACTGGGAGGGAACACAAGGGGACTTTCTGGGTACTGGTAATGTTTAATTTCTTGATTTGGGTCCTATTATATAATGTGTTCACATGGGAAAAAGGCATTGAACTAATAAATTGTATACTTTTTCCTACTTATGTAATACTTCAAAATGTTTACTTAAAAATAAAAAAATTAGTGAATTTTAGGCGCAAATCTTTTAAACAGTCAAATAGTTCTACAAGGGTTTTTTAAAATTAATTAATTTATTTATTATTTTTGCGTTGTGTCTTTGTTGCTGCGTGCAGACTTTCTCTAGTTGCAGCGAGCGGGGGCTACTCTTCGTTGTGGTGTGTGGGCTTCTCATTGCAGTGGCTTCTCTTGTTGTGGAGCACAGGCTCTAGGCGCCCGGGGCTTCAGAGTTATGGCACACAGGCTCAATAGTTGTGGCTCGCGGGCTCTAGAGTGCAGGCTCAGTAGTTGTGGTGCACGGCCTCAGTTGCTCCGCGGCATGTGGGATCTTCCCCAACCAGGGCTCGAACCTGTGTCGCCCGCGTTGGCAGGCGGATTCTTAACAACTGCACCACCAGGGAAGCCCCTCTACCAGTGAAGCCCCTCTACAAAGTTTAAAAACAGCATTTCTTTGCTTCCTCCTCCCTCACCCTCACTCTGCAGTGTCCATCTCCCCACATAGACTCTTTCAACTTTTTTGGTTGATTCTTTTGCCTTTGACATCCATACCTCTAAATAACATGCTTGACTGTACCTCTTAATGTTTCAGTTTGAAACATTATCTAAGCATTATTTAAGCATGGAAGATAGGGATGTAGCCCTTTTTCCTTTACCTACTCCCCGTACTTATGCATATTCTTTCCATCTCTACATCCTCCTAATGTGGATTATTTATCATTTTAATCTCATTAATATTCAATGTTTATATGACATTTTCTATACAAGTGCTTTTGCAGCTGAGCCATGTAATAAACTTTGATCACTCCTCTTTTATTGCACTTCTTGTTTTCCCTGTTATCTTCATTTTGTCTGTTTCGTTTTCAGAGAATTTCAATCCCAAATACTGCATCACTTGTTTAAATCTTCCTCCAAGACCATCAGACATATTTGTTAAATTATTAATTTCATCTAGAAGAAATCTCTTCTAGAGTCTTGCGATTTGCTCTGTTCTGGGCTGGTTGCCCTTTATATCTCGTTCACAGCTCTTATCCTGAGATTTCCCTTCGAAAGTATTCTGGGGATTCACTGTACCTTCTTCTGTGTTCATTTTCTGGTCCCTGTTTTTGTGCGTAGTCTTCCTTTTCTTGGTTTATTTCCTTAGTTTTAATGGAGCGCATTCTTCAGTAGCTTTCTGGGAAAAGGGTACCTGTAAAAATGTACCCTTTTTCCCAGATGGGTACTGGGAAATGGGATGTAAAATGTTAAGACTTTGCATGCATGAAAGTGTTTTTATTCTATTTTCACACTAGATTGATGGTTTAGCTTCGTATAGAATTCTATGCTCAAGATAATATCCTTTCAGAGTTTTGAAGACATTGCTCCATTGTCTTATAAATTTATATGCTGATATTCAGAAGTCTGTGGCCATTCTTACTTCTTTCTTGCATATGTGACCTGTTTTTTCTCTCGTAGGAGCTTCTCTTTGTACCTAGTGATCTAAAATTTCAAATTGTCGTGTCTTGCTGTGTGTGTATCTAATTTCACCTAATATTCTGGTCACAAAGTGGGTCCTTTTTAATCTGAAAATTCAAGACTTTCTGCTCTGGGAAATGTTCTTGAATTTTTTGTTAATGATTTCTGCCCTCTGTGTTCTCTGTTCTCTCTTACTTAGAACTCTTACTGTTAGATCTCCTGGATTAATTCTCTAATTATCTAATCTTTAATGCCCAGTTTCCTGTCCATTTTCATGGTTGTGATATTCTCTTATCTCTCTGAGGATATCAATGATTTTTTTCCTTCTCCATGCATAGTCTTTGTTTTCTCCAAGTTACTTTTTAACTGAGTATTTATTTTGGTCTCAGTATTTCAAGCTAATGACTGTCCAGATGTGTGTTAACCTAGATATTTTGGTAAGTTTGTTTATAGCTGAGAGATTGCAAGCTCTGAGAATGTGGGTGGTACTTACGATGACCAGCCACCATGGTTTGCCTGGGACTATGCCAGTTTTAACACTGAAAGTTCCATGGACCTGGAAACCACACCAGTCCTAGCTAAGGTCACCCTAGCTGTGATCATCTCTATAGGGTGAACAGTCTGGAAAAGTTCCCAGGGAGCCCAATGTCAGTGTCTTCAGTTCTTTTCCCATAAGCTGGCAGATTCCCCAAAGAATGCT